TCCATTTTTTATTGTCCACAACAATTTTTAGTTTCATACACTTTTCGCCAAAAAAAATCTTACCTCAATACCCTTTTTACGCATATCATAATCGATGCCCTTCATGGCATTTCGTATATCATCACGATCCACTTGGACACAGCAGTTTTTATTATCATTCGGATGCAAAGGAGGGCATATGGGGCCACAATCTCCGCCGCCACCACGACTGCGACGGCTACGATAACTTTCAATTTTATTCTGTTGATCATTGCAGAATTGTTTTATTTTCGAATATGGCACATGATAGCTCTCGCCCGGACAGCATGCATCATTGCCCGAATACTTGATGTTGGCACGTATTTTTGGTAATTTCGGATGATTGATGATGTGGCCGCCGGTGCGACGTTTAATATGATTGCGAGCAAATGAGCTGTGCTCCAGCAGTTTATCCACATCACAGGAAGCTTTGGGCTGAGTGAACCAAAACGGAAAAGGCGCATATACAATATGTATGGTCGAATAATGATAAACATCCATACCTGTTCACAATCATCACTTGAATGATCATCTTGAAAGTTTTCGGTACCATCGCAAATATTCTCAACACAATGGGTATCTTTGAGGACACGTATTACCAAACCACTGCCATTGAGACATGCCTCAAACTCATCATAGGCATCTGGTCCTGGTTCCGGTTTTCGTGGTGTCACAAAACATGGTGGCATGCAAACGTTACAGGGATCGTAGGGATCTTTCGCAGCGGCATCACCTGAAAAAAAAACAAATTTTTAAATTTATTGTTTGTTTTATTAAAACAGATGTTATGGAACATACCCTTCTGTCGGATAGTGTAACCCAGAATAAGAAAATTTATTTTATCTATTGCAAAAATGTGAATTGTTTTATTGATAATTTGGATATTTGTCCTAAATATTTTATATTGATATTTTTACTAAATTTCGCCACTATATTTTTGTAATAAATAGCGCAGTTTCCTCAAAGCTTTCGATTTAGCTGCAAAAATGAAAAGGGACATTAATTAGAAAATGTGCATTTGGAAAAAAATTGGATTCCTTAATTATGATTATTTGACATTTGGACTCAAAACTATTTTTAAAATATCCACGCTTCTATCCCAATTAAAAATAATAAAAAAATCCATTCTTTGAAAAATAATTTTAAAAAATCCACGATTTGAAAAATATTTAAAAAAAATCCACGCTTTAAAAAATAATAAAAAAAATCCACTCTTTGAAAAATAATTTTAAAAAATCCACGATTTGAAAAATATTTAAAAAAATCCATGCTTTAAAAAATAATAAAAAAAATCCATTCTTTGAAAAATAATTTTAAAAAATCTACGCTTTGAAAAATATTTTTAAACAATCCACGCTTTGAAAAATATTTTTAAAAAATCCACGCTTTGAAAAATATTTTTAAAAAATCCACGCTCAAAAATATGTTTTTAAAATATCCACGCTTCAATCCCAATTAGAGTTTGAAAAATATTTTTGATAAATTAAAAAATATATTTTTTAATTCCACGTTTTGAGAAATATTTTTTAATTCAACGATTTGAAAAATTATTTTTAAAAAATCCACGCTTTGAAAAATATTAAAAAAATCCATTCTTTGAAAAATATTTTTAAAAAAACTACGCTTTGAAAAATATTTTTAAAAAATCAACGCTTTGAAAAATATTTTTTAAAAAATCCACGCTTAAAAATATGTTTTTAAGAAATCCACAAGTTTGTGTTATAAAAAATGGCAGAGAATTTTTTTTTGAAAAGTCTTTAAGGCCTATTTTGAAAGATGTAAGCTTTAATAGTCCTTGAAAAAAATGAGCAAGTAAAAAAGCTGTAAGTTTGGCCGGGCCGAACTTCGAATACCCTCCACTATACCGATAAGCCATTACAATATTCAAATGCCAAATTAAAAAAAAATCGGTAATAATGTAGCTAAAATCATCAAAATACCGAATATCGGGAGGTATCGTTATATGGGGGGCTATACGAAGACGTGGACCTGCGCCGACAATTTTCTGTCTTAGACTGTAGAATCTATTACGAACTTCAAATACCAAATTTGAAACAATTCCGGTAAATAATGTCGCTAAAATCATCAAAATGCCGAATATCGGGAGGTACCGTTATATGGGGGCTATATGAAAACGTAGACATGCACAGACAATTTTCTGTCACAACCTGTAGTATCCATTACGAACTTCAAATACCAAATTTGAAACACTTCCGGTAAATAATGTCGCCAAAATCATCAAATTACCGAATATTCGGTGGGGGCTATATGAAAACGTGGACCTACATGGTACCGTCATATGGGGGCTATATGCCATTTTACGAACTTAACCTGCCTACTGCAAAATAAACAATTCTAGTCTCTCAATTCGTCCGAAAGATAGCGTAATTACAATAGACAGACGGACAACGCTAAATCGACATAGAATTTTATGCTGATCATGAATATATATACTTTGTGGGGTCTAAAATGTATATTTCGAGGTGTTACAAACGGAATGACAAAGTTAATATACCCTCCATACTATGATGGAGGGTATAACAAAATGCCAAAGCTTCACAAAGGTAAAATAAAAATATTTTTGAAAATCTTCGCTTTATCATTCCGTTCTTGAAAAATACACACCTCTATTTCTAATGGATGTCCATTCCAAAAAAATATGGTCAGAAAACCCCCCAATTCAGAAGGGTACCTTCCACTACGAAAATGAAATTACTCACCTGCTTCACAGGCATTCGCACATTCGTCACAGGAACAATCATCGCCTTTTGAAGGACTATTACAACCACCTCTATTGGCCATTGATTCTTTAGGCCTCTTTGAAGGTCCACACGATCCACTACAATTTTGAAGATGACATTTTTGTTCCTTACATATGGGAGCTATTGAAATACATCATTAAATTCCTTTCTCCCAAAATAGAAATACGTATAAAAATTGCTTACCTCTGGCACATTCATCTTCCACCTCATCGCATGGACATCCTTTGTCGGTGTTACAGGCAAAATAACGTTGACAAATTTGCTTCTTCTCGGGAGTGAAACAAGGATCATCCAAAGCTGGACAACCATTACAGGGTTGACTTTGACGTCTCCTACTTGGTTTGGCACAAGCCTTATCAGTCTCTTCCAACTCATTGGTATCATCACCACCCTCATAACGAGAAGTTTCTGGGTAGCTACTACCGTCCGTAGCTCCACCACCACCACAACGGCCGGAATTACCACCTTCCTTATTACAGCTTTTGTTACATCCTGAATTACAAATTTTCGAAAAGGGGAAAGAGGAGACTATTGCCGGACCATTGGCCACCAGACGTATGATCATTACAATATTTCCCGTCTGACAACCATTCAAATTGAACAAAGGCAGCAGACGTTTGGTTAACTCCGAGGTGGGACACAGTTGTTCCCTTCTCCCCATACTGTCTTCGTTGCAATCATTGTCCACAATGGCCGGGCATTTTGGTGGCACACCAGCATGCGGCATTGTTTGCAGGTGTTTCCGCAAACCATCTTCCCAATTTGGATTTTCTATTTCAAAACTCTCCATTACCTTATCGAAAAGGCCACGTATCGGCATATCACTGCAACCGATAAGGAATTTACATTTGTCCGTTTTCTTTTTGTACACATGGAACATTAAACGGTCGGCATCTTGTATAGGACTCTCCAGTGAGAAGAGACAACATTTGCCACATTTCGTTGCACTGGGATCAACGCAGTGGCCATACTCCCGATCGCATATCGAGACAAAAACACTATTACGAAAAGAAACTTCGCAGCAGGTGGGATATTCTTCGGGAGCACAATAATTTGGTCGTGTCACCAGCAAATCATCGACCACGAATTCGAACATGTACAAGAAATTTTGCGCCATCTTAAAGTCTCTTCGTGATTTCGAGCGAAATTAGCAAAAAAAAATCTTTATAATTTATAAATTTTCTCTTGACTATTTGAAAAAAATTTCAGAAATGTTAAATGAAAAATGTACATATTATTATTGATAAAAGGTGCACAGTTTACTAGGAAATTCAAGACTTAAACAAGTATAAAAGATGGCACAGTGTTTTAGCAAATGGTTTATTTTTTGAATAAAAAAATGATACTATCAGGGCTGCTGAACGTTATTTTTTTTTAAATTTTTTTTCTAGAACCATCAGAGTCACTAAAACGGGGCTGTTTTAACATAACTTTTTTTGAACTATGAGAGCCACCAAAAAAAAAACAGGATTTTTAGGAACATTTTTCAACGACCTTCAAAATAATTTTTTGGACCAACAAAGCCACTAAAGGGTGGAGATTTGTAATATTTTTCTAGGATTAACAAATCAGTCAACGTATATTTTATAACTATTTTTTTAAAACTCAAAAGAGCCACTACTCGAGTTCGTTAAATTTTCATTCAACGACCATCAGAGCCAACAAATGGAGACTTCTTAAATATTTTTCAACAACAGACAGACACAAAAAGCGGTTTACTTAAAAATATTTTTCAAAAAACATCTGTCCTGACTAATTATCTTTGAAAAATATTTAGAATTAAATTTTCCCCAGCTCTTAGGTCTTAAAAAATATGTGTTTTGGAGGCCCTGGAGAGTCAAAAAAAGGTTTTTTTAAATATATTTCAAGGACTATTAATAGCCGCGTTTAATTTTTTCAAGAGCCGTTAGATCCATAAACCTTGTAAAATCGTATTTTCTTAGAAAAAGCCATATTATTTGAAAGAGTCTGAGGTTTATAACTTTAGAAATGATTTTATAATACTGTAGTTCAGTATGTAAAATTTTTTACTACGATAAAAGATTTTTCCTTTTTGATATCAAAAAAGATCTAAAAATAGTAAATTCTTGCAGGTCCTGGAACAGAACAATTCTGTTGGGATTTCGATTATCATTGGTCTATTCCAGAGCTGCAAGAATGTAAAAGTTTTTACTACGATAACCCATTTGCCCTTTGATATTGAATAAAAACCAACAAGAGTAGATTCAGCAAGTTGTGAAACAGAGCAATTGTATTGGGATTTCGATGAGTATATTGTATTCTGACAGTGTTCTATAATATAACTGTAACAAGAGATAAAATGAAAAACTTGTTAAAACATTTAATTTACCTAATTTTTTATCTATTATGATTAAATATATATAAAAAAACAAATCTTAAATTCAATATTATCCATTTTTCTTCATTTCTTGTATCTGTTTCAGCAGCAGTTGCATGCGATCCTTCATAAGAGGTTGACCACGTTGCGTCCGCTTGCTAAGTGCCTTTGTACGCTCCAGTCTTTTCTTTTTGTACTGCTTCACTTTCTCTTCTTTTTCTGCTTTAGCTTTGGCCCGTTGCTCCTCCAATTCCTTTTGTTTTTGTGCCCTGGCTTCTTGACGTTGGCGAAATTGTTCAGCCCTTTGCTGTAGAGAAAAAAATAATTGATTAAAATATGATTGTGTTCCATTAAAAGAATGATACATTTATATAAATATGCTGGTCAGAGAAACTGGCAATATTGTCTAAGGATATAGGTTTGTAGACAAGTCTACATAGATTAAGAAATTATCAAGTAGCAGAACGCTTTAAAAATTATCACGACCCAAACCCACAACTGCTGAGAAATTCTTAGACATGTGACAACTGGGGCTGCGTAGCTACATGAAAGATCAATTGCATACCCATTGTGCTGAAATACAACTTTGATACATACCTTCTTTAAATCTTCCTTGGATTTTACAAAGGATCCCTTCCCATGTGCCTTAAGCGCGCCTCCTTTAAATCCTTTAAATGGTGGCTTTGCACCACCACCACCACCAGAATTGCCTTTATGCTTGATTTTGTTTCCATTTGGCTTTTTTTGAGATCCAGCATTGGATGCTTTGGGATTTTTTGCATTTACCATAGTGGTAAGTTTATTTAAAGTTTTTGTTCACAAAGGTGTCCAATTCAATTCACTTGATCTATCTTCTTGTTAGGAGGTTGTACATCTGCTTCTGGGCGCATGGGAAACGTCTATTGTTTACGAATGAGACATGAGGAAAACGCAATCAGCTTGAAGCATTCATTAAATGAGCCGGGGAAATAGTTGCATTATTTAAATGCGTTCCGGAACGATAGAGTGCATTGGAAGGAATCATGTGAACTAGTTCGGTTTCTATCCACCATTTATTTTGTTGATGACAAAGTCAACTGATAAAAAACACTAAAATTGATTTTTGCACAAACTTACCCTACTATGAAGATGAACTTTTTTTCGAACATATTCTACAAATTTTTTTATCATAAACATTTATTAAAGTCATTAAACATAAATAAATCCATGGTACAATAAAAAGGTATGGTAGAGTACCAGCTGATTACAATTTTTTTCTAAGTGTGCCCGATTTCTGTTAATTTTGTGTATGTATTTATTGTTTGGAAAAACAAAAACAATTTTCTTTAAATCAATGATTTTAAGAAACTTGAATTGTGGGGCTCGCATTGATGATTTTAACCAAATTTGCCATGGAATTGAGGGATTGAAGACTTTGGATCATATTTTTGAGAGAAAGTCCAGACATACATCAACGCTTGGGAATAAAAATATATTTTTATAAAAATTTTTTTTTTTGTTAAAGCCTCTTCATTAAAAAATGAATTATTGTATAACCTGCCTGCTAACTTGCGGGATTTATTGTTTGTTTAGTATGGTAAAAGTACAAATAATGTTTCTTACTGTCTAGCATTCCTCAAAACAGTAAATGCAAGTAATTTCTAAACATTCCAATGATATTTTCAAAAAAAAAAAAAATAAATGGTCTGTTCCAGAACCTGCAAGATTCTACTCCTTATGCAATTTTCTCCGACATCATAAAGGGAAGATGGGTTATCGTAGTAAAAACTTTTACATTTTTGCATTTCTTTTGCATTTCAGACCATAATATAATCGAAATTCGTATAAAAATGAAAGAAAAGAAGAAAGATCGAAATAACTGGGCGATAAGCAGATAGTCGATCAGAATCCACTAGTTTTCGTATAAGAAAGTAAGTTTTGCAGTTTGAATGCTGTTTCCCCACTTGATGTAGTGCAACTTGCATACTTATTTAGGAGAACACGCGAATTCTTTCACTTTTAACAATACAAATATGACTGAATAAAATGTTGATTTTGAAGGATTAATAATTTTTTTTAATTTTCATTTTTAATAATTTTCCGTTTCCGAGAAAGTAGTGCTGTCGAAGGTAGTGTCGCATTTCGGTTTTTGCTAGTTCCACCTACATACAGGAAAAAAGTTTCGAATAACATATATTTTCGGAATATATGGTCCATGTAAACCTTATCCATCATCGTAGATATCAAATATTGCGTCCCATTAAAATCATATTAATTACATTTGCCGAAATCAAATCCCCGTCTTACTCTTAACAATGTTACTTTTATTTTTCCTGTACGAACAGTTTTTTACGTGTAAATAATGCCTTAGCAATAAAAATATTGCCAACATATGATATTGCATATTTAGCTTATTGTTGTATTACAAATAGGCAGCATTGTTTGATTTTCAACTGGGCACTACTTTCTCAGCGTTTTCTGACAACTTCGACTGATTGGCAACACTTCTCTGCTATTGAATTGTTATGGTTGGAAATATTACATTTGCCTGAATTACATATCCAAAAATATTTTTATAACTAATCATTTTCACGTGTAAACCGTGCCTTAGCACTACAAATATTGCCAATATCAATTTGAAAATAACATAATATGACATTTCATTTTTAAATTGATAGGCAGCATTGTTTTATTTTCATTTGGGCACTATTTATTTGTTTTCCTTTCTCATAGTTTTCTGTCAATTTCGAATGATTGGCAACTCTTCTCAACTCTCCTGGCGTCATTTAAATTTAAACGTCCAATAAAGAAACGCCGCCAAATAATCAGCAGACATTTTATCTGAATTGTTCGATAATTTTAATTAAAAGGCTAATAAATAAACAAAGGGAGAAAAATTTTAGTAAGAAATTGAATGAAACTAAAGGGGAACATGAATACATCGGCACAAAACCAATCACAGTCGCAGCCGCCGCGTAAAACGAATGAACACATTCAGGTTTACGTGCGAGTAAGGTAAAATGCACCACAATCCTTATTATATGGATGTTGTTTTAATAAAATGAAATACTTTAATTTTCTATTTATGTTTTATTAGGCCATTGAATCGCCGTGAAAAATGCATACACTCCACAGAAATTGTAGAGGTGGTGTCACACAAGGAAATTGTGGCTCGTCATTCTTTAGAATCAAAATTAACCAAAAAGTTTACATTTGATCGTACGTTTGGTCCCGAATCAAAACAAGTCGATGTCTACGCAGCCGTGGTGGGTCCCCTCATCGAGGAGGTGCTGTCTGGATACAATTGCACAGTGTTTGCTTATGGTCAAACTGGTACAGGCAAAACACATACAATGGTGGGCAATGAGTGTGCCGAGCTAAAATCCTCATGGGAAGACGTAAGTACAGTAGTTCTTAATAAGTGAAAACATGGACAAAACTGCAAATCAAGTCAGTTTTGCAGCAATATTGACTTTTGATTCCTACGTTGTGTGTGCCCCAATTAAAAAGTTGTTGGACCAGTATTTTGTTGTTGTGCTCAATGTTGGACACCTATTTTAAAATTAGAACAATGATGAGTCATTTGAAATATATAGATGTTTTTTTCTGTTTGTTTTGAAAGGACTCCGATATTGGCATCATACCCCGTGCATTGTGTCATCTTTTCGATGAGCTACGTATGATGGAACTGGAATTTTCTATGCGTATATCTTATTTGGAATTGTATAATGAAGAGCTTTTCGATTTGCTGTCCACTGACGATTCTACCAAAATACGTATTTTTGATGATAGCACCAAAAAGGGTTCAGTTATTATACAAGGCCTTGAAGAAATACCGGTTCACAGCAAAGATGATGTTTATAAATTACTAGAGAAAGGCAAAGAACGTCGTCGCACAGCTTCAACTTTAATGAATGCCCAGTCGTCACGTTCTCATACTGTATTCTCGATTGTTGTTCATATTAAAGAGAACGGCATTGATGGTGAGGAAATGTTGAAAATTGGCAAACTTAATTTGGTGGATTTAGCTGGTAGTGAAAATGTTTCCAAGGCTGGCAATGAAAAAGGAGTCCGCGTGCGAGAAACTGTTAACATCAATCAATCGTTGTTGACTTTGGGAAGAGTTATAACAGCATTGGTAGAACGTACGCCACACATACCATATCGTGAATCGAAACTTACTCGACTTTTGCAGGAATCATTGGGTAAGTTTAAGTTATACCTTTAACAACATATTGAAGTAGGAATACATGTTAAATTATTTATGTATTTGAGTTTTTTTATGTATAAAAAGGCCGATTTTTGAACAAAATATTTTTATGCGATATCTAAAAATTGTTTTTAGCTCTCAAAGACAAGAAATATATTTTATAAAATTCACTAATATTTGCTTGTTGATAAATATTCCTAAAATTTCATCGTATATAGTACTAAGCTTTATTAAAATAATATGCTTAAATAATTTATAGTATAGCACTGAAATTCTTGAATAATATAGTATAAATATACACTACTAAAATTACTTGTGAGAATATTCCTAAAAATCCCCGATTGCAGAGAGGTGTGTTTAGAAAGTCTTAGTTGGTGCCACAGAATATTTTCTTAAGAATATGTATTGTAACACTTAATTGTAATTCAAAATCAAAATAAATTATTTTCATCTTCCAGGTGGTCGAACAAAAACATCCATTATTGCGACAATCTCACCTGGGCACAAAGATATTGAAGAGACTCTAAGTACCCTCGAATATGCTCATCGTGCCAAAAACATTCAAAATAAGCCGGAAGTTAACCAAAAACTCACCAAGAAAACTGTACTCAAGGAATATACTGAGGAAATTGACAAACTTAAAAGGGACCTCATGGCAGCTCGTGACAAGAATGGTGTCTATTTGGCCACAGAGACATACAATGAAATGACCCTGAAAATGGATTCTCAAACAAGAGAGCTTAATGAAAAAGTTCATTTACTAAAGGCTCTAAAAGATGAATTGGCCTCTAAGGAGAAAATCTTCAATGAAGTTAGCTTGAATTTAATTGAAAAGACTGCAGAATTACAGCAAAAGGACAATCGTTTGAGGTCAACCAAGGGAGAATTAATAGAAACAAAGAAAGTTTTGAAAAATACCAAACGACGTTACAAAGAGAAAAAGGTGTTGCTTGAATCACATGCCAAGACTGAGGAGGTATTAAAAGATCAGGCCACACAGATATTGGAAGTTGCTGATATTGCCACAAAGGATACGGAAGCATTGCATGTAAGTAATGATTTTAAATTGTTTCATCATTCTTTTATTAATTGTACTATTTTTTAGGAAACCATTGACAGACGCAAAGATGTTGATGTTAAAATACAAACTGCCTGTGAACGTTTTACTGAACGTATGAATGAAAACTTTGATCAGATGGATGAAACCCTTAAACAGTACGAGGGAAAACAAATTAGTTTAACTCGTTGCATGGACGAAGAATTGAGTAAGTCTAAACAGAACCTTTTATTTCAACATATTCCTAATATTGCGAATTTTTTACCAGCCAAAACATCCAGTGTTCAGTCAAAACTCATAGACGCCACCAGTGAACAAATCAAAAGTATTAAACAAATATTAGACTCCTACGAAACTTCAATGAGCAGTATGACAGAAAATCTTTGTTCTACCCTCACAAATACGGGACAACAACAAAATACATCAATTATTAATTTCTTGAAACAATTAAAAGAAAAGGAATTACAGTTTAAAACTCAGATAAAAGAAAACTTGGAGGCGATTGAGTGCACGAATGAGCAGCAACAAATAGCCTTAAGTGGTATGCGTGATTCTATAAAGGAAAAACTTGAAGAAAGCAACACCAAATTGCAGCAACACACGAAACGTATACAAACCGAAATGGATGCCATCAAACAGAAAACATTAGAAAATTCACAAGAACTACAGAAAATTTCTACAAACCTTACTGAGCAAAGAACTCTAGTAGAAGAGGAACAAAAACTATTGGAAGATTTTCAAAATAAAATGCAAGAATTGCACAAAAAACATACAGCGTGTTCCAATAACATCAATACGAATGTTGAAACTTTGGAAAAGGCCCAACAATTTGTCACCACTCAACTAGAGGGATCATCTAAATTGCAACAAGTCTTTTTGGAAAAGAATGCCAAGGCTTTAGAAAATAACTGTCTTTTAGTCGATAAACTTAGAGATCAAATTGAACTTCACATTGATCAGAATGTTGCAAAGTGTTCCACACTTACCATACAATTAGACAATAAAGTTCAAGAGACGTCTAAAGCACTGGAATCTCAGATTGTAATTGCGGACCAACATTACACACAAACAACGGAAACACTTAAAGAATATGGCCCTCAAGTGAAAAGAATTTGTTCGGAACGTAGGGAGCAACATAACGGCAAAACAGATCTCATTCTAAACTCATTACAGAATCATGTCAAACAGACCGTTGAAAATGTTTCCATTATCAAAGGTTTCAACTGTTCACTGCAACAAAAATTGAAAGATTATTCAAAAGTATATAAAGAACAAATGCAATCCTGTGCTCAAGATGTGGAAATATTCCGTAAAAGTGAAATCAAGACGTACACAGCAACTGGAGCTACGCCTTCGAAAAAGGATTTCAAATATCCTCGAGTTTTGGCAGCAACATCTCCACATTCGAATATTGTTAAACGTTTTCGCCAGGAAAATGATTGGTCAGATCTTGATATGACAATACCATTGGATGAGGTAAGAGAAATGTCGATGAAAAGGCTTCAGGGGCAAAATTTCGAAATTTATTTAATATCGAAATTTATTTTAAGAGATTAATTTAGCTTGATTTGACTTGTTATAATTGAACAGCAGCTGTTTCTACCATAATTTTAACGCTTTTTTTATCAAACACAAAATTTTGATATTTCAAATTTAAATTTTTGGCCAAATATTTTTGATGTATTTTCCTCTGCGAAAATACCTAATGAGTATGGTGTCCAAAGTGGACATTTAGTTACATCACCATGAGTAATTATTAAAATTTTTTATCCTATCCTTTTTCAGGAAAGTGAAACTGATATCGAAAATTCTATATCGGATACCGAAACAATTTTAAATTCTACACCAGTTGAAACAGAAATCGTGCCACCAAAAAGAAATTCTTATGTAACGCAGAGAAAATCCGATCGCAATTCCAACTTATTAAAAGTGCCACCACAAAGCAACAGTCGTTCAGGTTCACCAGCCGGCAGTATATCACCACGCAAGGGTTCTTCAAGAACAAATTCACCAGCTTATTTAAAGGTATGTTTTCTGATGAATTATAACTCAAATATTTAACTGATTAATTCCATTCGTTGTTTTTTTTTTTTTTTGTTCATTTCAGCAAAATAAAGAAAATATTACGACCTAATCTACTTAATGCATAATTCTCAAATGTCGTTTTAAGAATTTAGTATTTTTGTTTATTTAATTTTTATTTTTTCTATTGGAAATATCATCAACACGTTTTCGTATAGTCATACTACTACTTATATATTTTAATTATTCTAATTTAATATAGCTTGTATATAGAAATAGATTTGGCATACAAGTTTTTAATTTAATCCATTTTACATGATTGATGCAATGAAATGTGTTGTGTAATATGTTCCTTTTTCACTCATATATGCATTTGTATTTCGTTTATATTCTCCCTCCTCTCTTGTATGAAAATAAATAGTATTTAAATAAATAATATTTTTTAACATTAAATGAAAATGCATGTACATCAATTACATAATGGCCACTAGTCATCATCGTCATCATCATCCTTTAAAATGCCCAAACGTCGAGCGACTTCTTTAACATTGGCTATAAATTCTTCTTGCACCAAATTGAAACTCATGGCCAGCAGAGCGATACCAAATAATAAATATAATGAACAATAGGCTATGGACTGTTCTGATTCATCTTTAACACCTTTGGCTGGTACAAAATCACCAAAACCTAAAAGACAAAAATATTGAACATCATACATGGGAAGCAAGTTTAAAATTGATGTTAGAACTCACCAATTGTTGTTAGTGTGATAAAACAGAAATAGGCCGAATCCAAAAATGACCATTTCTCCCAGAAGGCAAACAATGCAGCTCCTCCCAATATGTAACTAATGACTAGAAAAACGCATAGCCATATCGGCACTGGACGATCTTTGGGCGGTATATCACCATAATAATCACTCATATCATCGCCATACATCGAGTCTTCATCGTAATCATAACTTGGTCGTCTTCGGACTTGTCTTTTGACAGCAAATCCCATGGGAGACATAATTCTTGGTGAGGGTGGTAAACGTTCTGGAAAAAGTTAAATTAAGCGGATTTAAAAAAATGTCCTTTTGTTTGGAGAAAAAAATATGGAATATTCTTAAAATATTTTTAAAAGCTTAAAACATTTTTTTTACATGTTTAATATACAGCTCCTCTTTTTTGCAGTTGCCCCAACTTACCTTGCTTTTCCTTACGCTGTCTCCTCTCCTTTCTTATAGATGATCGTTGATATTCAACATCATCATAGTTCCTTTCACTACCACCACGATCCCTACGCTCCATATGCTGTAGACGCATATATTCATCGGGATCCTCAAGGTATTGATCTTCATATTCTTCATCGTAGATTTCATGGCGTCGTGGCGATACACCACGTTTCGTTCTATGCGGCGAGGTATATTCTGGCAATTCCAAGTGATTACCATAACGAGAGTGGCCATTACTTGGCAGTGGACCAAGTGAGGTTTGTCTGCCAAAACTGCCACGACGTCCCGTGGGATTTGGCATCGATCGACGATTGGGTGAGCCAACATTTATGTGATTCGGTATGTCGTCATTAAAATGTCTAGACGATGAACGATGTGTGGGTGACTGAGGTTGATTTAAAGTGTTTTTGTGAAACGCGGAGCGTGGCATTGATTGACTTCTCATGTAGCTTTTACTGCGCGATTCCCGGTGTTCCATTTCGGTAATGGCATAACGATTGGATATAATGGGTGTTTTGCGTACCACTTCCTCGTCGACATCTTCGTAATGTTGAGCCGATAGTCGTGGATCGACGGATTTTGCTCGTGTCCTGGCATTTGGGTGAGGCATGGATTTTCCACGCACCATGGCTTGATGGGAATTTAGGCGATTCAGCTCTTTCGATTCTCTTGATTCTCTCGAGATTTCATCCCGCCTCATCTGGGGTGATCTCATTGACCTTACACTCATTGCCCGCTTCGCTGTGGGTGGCATATCATCAAAATCCTCCACCGAATCAAAGTTATGTTTTGATCTACTCAAATGTCGTTCCCGTTCGACGGTGTGACGATCCCTCATACGATCACGGCGACTTTGGCGGCCACTAAAGCGTCCAGGTCTGTTCAGAGTTTGTGTATATGGTGGAGATTCATCGAACATTTGATCATCATCGTAGGGATGTCGTGGTGGTGGTGCAGCCATCATATTTTGATCACGACGACGACCACCCCCACCGCCGGTACGACGATCTGGATAGCGTTCATAGTCAAAATCACGTTCATAACCATTGCGACCCACAGTTCTTAGTTCAGGATCTGAGTAGGCGTGTTGCAATCCCGCCTGTGTGGGCCGCTGCGACATACGCATCGATCTACGAAAGGGTGGTGGTTGCGAGCGGGAGGAATATCGTGGTGCGCGTATGGAACGTTGCCGAGCCCGGCGATTTTTCTTAGAGTTGCGTGTACAAATGTAACAGCAAACACGCCAATAAATAAAGCTAAAATAAATATCTGGATGCTGAGTAAATACTTAAAAAGATTTCCATTTCGTTGATACCTACCGAAACGATGAGGCCATTACATCGCCAATATTTGAGAGACAAAGCAGCATCAAAGGTATACCGACAATGGCATAAAATATTGTCGTCACCTTACCCCAATCGGTTCGGGGCGATATGTGGCCATAACCTGAAATACAATTGTAGTGATAGAAATATTTAGTAGACATAAGCCAAAAAAAACAGGCATATTAGCTCAGTTTATCTCTCAACAAATATTAAAATAAAACACGAGTATTGGTTTTCAACACATATTTTGAAAATATGAAAATAGTCATTTTAAAAATTAGCTATTTTAGTTCCTTAAACACATTTTAAGAATTCCAAAAAAATCATGATTTTAATCCGTTAAAAATATTAAAAAAATAAAAAAATCGCTGCTTTAGATTTGTTTAAAAAAAAAATATTAAAAAGTCTTTCATTTCTAGCGATCTGTGCGATACATAAAAATATTAAAGAAATAATTTAAAAAAATCACTAATTTGGGTCTTTCAAAACCATATTCGGAATTATTTCGAAAATTCCCGATTATAAGTCGCTTTAAAATAATAGGAAAGGATTATCCTTCAATTAAATAAAGTTAACAAAATTTACGACTGTGAGATATATTTAGAAAAAATCCGCTAACTTAGGTTCTTAAAATTATTTTAAAATATAAGTCCAAGATTATAGCTCTCATCGTCTACAGGGAGAGAGGAAAAAACTGCAACCAACTTCAGACTGCTGTTATTTCTAAGCCAATCATGCGACAGATGTTAAAATGATTCCAGTGACAGCACATTATATTGTCTACAAGCGTACAAAAGCATTTTGGTGAAAATTTTCCATTAAAAAAGTTATTCGTGATGGAATTCAAGCGTGATAGTGTGATTTCTTTATATTTGGCTTGGAAACCTCAATTGGCTATATAACAGCAACATCAGCAGAAATGGTTCGAAAAGTAAAGAAGCGATTTAATCGTAACCCGCGTTGCAGTGGCCGAAAAATGGCTCGTGAGCTGGACATATCGCAATATTCCATTCGGCAAATATTGAAAAATGAGCTAGGGGTAAAGTCATTGAAATTCCAAAAAGTGCAAGAACCTACACCGCAAGAGAAAGAAAATAGACTCAAAGAGCTAAAGAGTTGCTTCGCTTGGCCGAAAATGGTGAACTGCTGAATTTGGTTTTCTCCGATGATAAACATTCGTTGTCCTGCAGTTTGTAAACAAACAAAAAGAACGTATTTACTTGCCAAAGAGGTCAGCTGAAAATGTGCATATTCGGTTGGCCACCAGAACTCAAGGGCCGGCCATGGTGATGGTGTGGACCGCCATAACAGCCGATGGTCGCTCTCCGCTCGTATAAATCGAGCGTGGCATCAGAATAAATGCCGAATATTATCGCGAAAATATTCTGGAGGGTTTTTTAAAGCCTTGGGCACGTAAACATTTTGGCCGCAGACCTTGCCCATTCCAACAGGACTCAGCACGCGCCAAAATGAGGTTCCTCGCTTCATTTCCAGCGCACAATGACCACCAAATAATCCGTTGTACTATTGTTAAAGCAAGGTTGGCACTAAAAAATACCAAAGTTTCGATTACCTCAAGCCAACGCTTCGCCAGGAATGGGCCAAAATACCGCAGAGCAACATTTGGGCAGCGTGTGACGGTTTCATTGGCCATTTGAAGGCCATAATTCGTGCCAAAGGTGACCAATTCGAACAAATCTAGACTTAATCTAAAATTTGATGATGTTCCGATATTTTTTGCTTTCATTAAAAAAAAATTAAAAATTATGGCGTTTGACTATGTTGCAATTTTTTTATCTCACCATGCATAAAAAATATTTTAAAATTTCAATAAAATTGCTTTGTGATTGCCCATTTTTTCTGAAAGTACTATTTTCTGATGACCCTTGAAAAAACATATTTAAAAAAAGTCTACCATTATAGCTCTGATTAAAAATATATCTTTAAAATATCTTGCAATTGCGAACCATTCGAATCATAGAACTAAAATTCCCACACTTTGTTGTTACCTCATTTTTGCATATCAAAAATATTTCTTTTTGTCTTCGCCGACAAAATTAAACGCGTTTTCATGGTATTTTTGTGATTTAGTCTACTTTGAAGGCTAGAATCGACACTTATCGCATTGTTGAAATAGTTTTCCCACCCAACCCAAGTTTATTCTACAAACAACTTCCGAAAAAAAAAGACCTACTCATATCCGCAAAAAAAACCCCAAGACAGTCAAAGAGCATGTCATCCATTGTTTTTGTTTTTAGACAACACGACAAATTATCAAAAATTTTCAAGAAAAATAAAAATTAAGCAAATTACTATGGCTCGGCGGTGGTGGCAACTTTAGTACCTTTTATGATTCTTCTAGTTCTCTACTTCATCATTGTCTTGTTCAATTCAAGGGTCAATCAACCTGTTGTGTTTCCTATCATGATTTCCATCGCCACAAGATAATTGTGAGAACTTTTTTGGGGGTGAGTAAATTTGGTAATTTTTTTTTATTATTTGATGGTGTAGATTGGAATGACCTTGACTGTGTTTTTTGTTTCTGGGTTTGTGGGTTGTTTGTTTGGCTCAATTTCATTTTTGGGTCATTAACTGTAACACATTTCAAATGTCAAGAAAAATTAAAATTTGTTGCTCTTCTGTTTCCTTTTGTTTGGGATTTTGTTTTTGGCCATATCAAAAGAATTCTACCATAAAAAATAAAACATCTAAGAAAAATTGCAAAATTAAGTGATCATTCAAGCAAATGATCGGTGTGTATATGTAAATATATTATTTATAATATGGTGATAGGGGAATGTTTTTGGGGTGATACGATTTTATGTAGATTTTATTATGTAAGTGTTGTATTGGATTTAAGAATATTTTTTTAAGAGTCATAAAGCTATAATCGTGGATTGTTCAAAAATATTTGACGAGTCAAAATATGTTTTTTTTCAGTACCATCGGTGAAATAATCAAAGACTTTTCTCAAAGCGAAAATCTTGGATTTAGAAAAGTAATTTTTCAGGTGCCATGAAATCTATAAAAGTGACTTTTTAAAAATAAATTTTAAAGGCCATCAAAGGTAAAAACGTGGATCTTTAAAAAAAATCCTCAAGGCCCATAGAAGATATGATCTATTATACCGTGCAACACAAAAAAAATACGGGGGAATTCCAGCAGATTTTGAAAGTGGAGACAAAAAAACAAGTAAAAAAGCTGTAAGTTCGGCCGGGCCGAACTTTTAATACCCTCCACCCTTTGGTACAAATTTGGGAATTTCCAAAAAATAAAATCCGTTAAAAATTCTGTTAATATCTTAAGAATGCCGAATGCTTATACGACGACGTGGGCCTGCATAGTCAACTTTTGTCATAAGTTATTACAATATTTAAATGCGAAACTTGAAGAAAAATCTGTTTATAATGTAGCTAAAATCATTAAAATGCCATATATGGGGGGTACCGTTATATGGAGGCTATACGAAGACGTGGACCTGCACAGACAATTTTCTGGCATGGGCTGAAGTATCCATTACGACCTTCACATGCGAAATTTGAAACAATCCCGGTAAATAATGTCCCTAAAATCATCAACATACCGAATATCGGGAGTTACGGTATATGGGGGCTATATGAAGACTTGGACCTATATGGCCCATTTTCTGTTTTATGCTGCAGTATCTATTACTAACTTCAAATACCAAATTTGGAACGATTTCGCTAAATAATGTCGCTAAAATCATCAAAATACCGAATATCGGGGGCTACCGTTATATGGGGGCTATATGAGGACGTGGACCTACATGGCTCATTTTTTGACTTAGGATTACAAATCCATTACGAACTTCAAATACCAAATTTGAAACGATTCCGGTAAACAATGTCGCTAAAATCATCAAAATACCGAATATCGGGGGGTACCGTTATATGGGGGCTACACGAAGACGTGTACCTGCACAGATAATTTTCTGTTATATGGGGGCTATATGATAACTTGGACCTACATTACCCATTTACGAACTTAACCTGCCTACTCTCAAAATATACATGTGTGCAAAATTTTAGCCTTCTATCTCAATTTGTTCGAAAGATAGCGTGATTACAACAGACAGACGGACAGACAGACAGACGGACATCGCTAAATCGACTTAGAATTTTACGCTGATCAAAAATATATATACTTTGTTGAGTCTGATATGAGTATTTCGAGGAGTTACAAACGGAATGACAACATTAATATACGCTCCATAGTATGGTGGAGGGTATAAAAAGGAGACCCGTATATCGGATATTCGGAAATTTATAATGTAGTGTACCAAAAATAGAGGGGGCATTTTCCCCCCTATTCCACGCTTTTGGAAATTTCGGATTAAGATTCCTTGGAGTGCCTGCATTTTAGGTATATAGTGTCTTTGGCAACATTTGCAGATAAAAATACGAAGAATATTTTGGTTTAACCATCAAGCGAGTCAACAAGTGGGTCTTTTTGGGCCTTTTTATAAAATATGGTTAAAATTTCCATTTAAACGGGCTCGTAGCAAGTCAATATATTCTACAAAACTATTTGTCGTCAAATTTTACTATAGGCCATAAAAGACGTCAATAGTCTAAATCTTACCTAAACTTTTTTGAAAATTTCCAAATTAGTTCCAAATGGTGGAGGGAATTCGTCCCAGTCGAACCTACTGCTGCTTTACTTGTTTTGATATAAGACCTTCTACAGGTTCTCTAAAAATAGAACGCATGTTTAACCAACCATAAAATATCTTTTAAGCAAATTCTATGGATATACAGGGTGATATGAAAAAAAAAACTGCAACCAACTTCAGACTGCTGTCATTTCTAAGCCACTCGTCCGACAGCTGTTAAAATTATTCCAGTGACAGTTCATTATATTGTTTACAAGCGTACAAAAGCATTTTAGAGAGACTTTTCCAGAAAAAAGTTATTCGTGATGGAATTCAAGCGTGATAGTGTGATTTCTTTATATTTGGCTGGAAAACCACAAGTGGCTATCGTTAGAGCACTCCAGCATTTAAATGTGAATAAATCTTTTGTGTCTTGTACCATCGCTCGTTACCGTGATACTGGCAGCGTAGCCCGACGTCAAGGAAGTGGTCGAAAGAAAACAGCAACA